AACAGCATGGCTTTATTTCCTATATTTCGTCTTCATACTTTTCTACTGGATGGTTAAGACCAAGGTAAAGCAGGTCCTGTGCAACAAGAGTTGTAGCTTTTGGGTCTGAAAAGGTCAGTGAAATCCGCTCAGGATTTATCCTGAGATCCTGTACCTCAGCATGCTGGCCTTTAACTCACTCTGCAGCCTAGGTTGGCCTCACACGCCTCGCCTCACCCTCCCAGTGCTAGGACCACAGCCAAGCGGTCTGGGAGGCGCCCCACAGGTGACCAGCCAAGCTATTCTTCAGGGATGGGGCTTCCAGCGCCACGATGGAAATAAGTAGGGGACAGCGCCGTGCCCCTAGGGACTCTGGCCACCATGTACCTGGGGCCCCGTGGGTGCCACCCACCGCGTTTTCTCGCAGTGAGAATCCTAGGCCCTTTCTGAGCCTCTCCTGGCTGGCCCTGGGAAGCTGCCTCATTTTACTTCTTTTGTTTTAAAATTTCCAAATATTTCCAAACTAGAGATGCGCTTTTGCTACATCAGCACGTTGCTTCGTGTTTTTTCTTTCTGTGGCACAGGGGACTGAACCGGGGGCCTTCCAGCTGAGCTACACTCTTCCGTTTCCTAATTTCTCATAAATGGCCCAGGCTGCGTCTCCGATGTGGCCGCAGAGCTGCCTCCGAGAGGCCGGCTCTGCGGCCTGCGATCCGATCCATCTTCCTCTCCCGGGATTGGCGCCAGCGTCCGGATCGATGCCAACGCCTGGAGCTGCGGTCTTTGCGGTCCAGGCTGGAGCTGGCTGTGGGCTCTCAAAAGCCCCCCGGGGTGTCCTGGCCCCAGCTGCGGAGACCCATCCATCTCAGCCAGGGCTGAGAAATCCCCGCCGGCCGGCCGCCGGCGTGTGTGGGGGTGGGGAGTCCCCAGGGACTGACAGTTTTGTCTCGGTTTTTTCACAGTCCCCCTAGAGGGGTGGGAGGCTTCGGGGAGGGGCACGGCATGGCAAAGGGTTGGGGTGCTGGGGTTCTCATCCTCTGAGTCCAGGGTGCAGAGGTGAGGGCTGTGGGCAGTGGGTAGCATTGGAAACCAAACCAGACTTCCGCCGGAAATCCCAGGGCTCTGGGACGCTGAAGCAGGAAGATCACAAGTTTGAGCCCAGTCTGCGCAATTTAGCAATTCAGCGAGACCTTGTCTCAAAAAAAGAAAAGAAAAAGGTGGGGTGGGTGGCTGGGGCTGTAGCTTAGTCGGAAGCACCTAGACTCCATCTTCAGTACCTCAAAGTGAAACAAAACAAAAACAGCCAGACTGGTGGTGTGCCCCGTAATCCCAGGATTCAGGAAGCTGAAGCAGGAGGATCGAGGCCAGCCTGGTCTACACAGCAAAAAACCTACAGCTAATCAACAAACCCAAACACAACCCGCCAGAGCTTCCACCACCAGGCCAAGGGCTCGGGCTCCCTGCCTGGGATCCAGGAATCCTTGTCGTTGTGGGAGCACGGCCTGAGAGGTGGAGACAGAGCCCCCTGAGGCCCGCAGGAGAGATGCCAGCCCGGGACATCTGGGCCCGAGGTCGTTCACTGCTGAAGCTTCTCTGAGCGCCACCGTGGCCTACACCCGGCGGGGAAACGGTGCGACACCGCCCCCGCGTGGCGACTCCTGGCTTTGCAGCCAAGGCTTCTTCAAATCTGTACTTTTTTTTTGAGGACTAAACAGGGCACTGTTACCAAATTATTGGCTGGAGGGCTGGGGAAATAGCTCAGCACAATAAGCGCTTACCTGGCAAGCTCAAGGCCCTCAGTTCAATCCCCAGTGCCACAAACAACAAAAAAAAATTTTTTTTATTTGCCTGAAGTGCTGGTGAGCCAACAAATTATTTTCATCCGGGAGAAAACCATGCTTTTACAGTGAGCCTGTTCCCGATCTGCATTCACGGGCCCCTTTTCCTGGAAACTCATGGTCTCCTATTCAGAAGCTACCACTGCTGATACTGAATTGAAATGAAACTGCTTCTTACCCCAGGAGAAGCTCAAGTGCCCTCCGTCCAAGCCAGGATATGCACCTGGGTGCGCTGGGATGGAGACAGGAAGTGGAAGAGGGGAGCGACCAGGGACGCGGGCACACAATCTGGGGTCTGGACGCTTCTCTAAGAAGGGGCACTGACAGTACATTTGGAAGGCTGAATACGAGTTTGCTAAGAGGAGAAAGAGGGGGATGTGCTGCTACAATAAGTTGGTGAAGGGCAAGAGATGACAAGGACAGTCCAGTCACAATTATTCCCTCCTTGCTGTGACCTTTTGGGGCCCATAAAAGAAAGTCGGTCACTTTTGCCAGACAGAGGAAAACTAGGGGTTGGAGAGAAGCAACGAGTGTGAAGTCCCAATGCGAACTGTTCCAGCGCCAGGCAGTAACTTTGCTCCACTTCTCCCTTTTATTCTTGCCGTCAGGGTGTCAGGGTGTCAGGGTGTCAGGGTGTCAGGGTAGGGTGTTCTCCGCACCCCGGATGCTCCAGGGCCTCAAGCTCGCAGGCTCAGGGCATGGTGGGATCTGCTTCCAACCTGAGGGCCTGAGCCTGCATCTTCCTCCTCCAAACCTGGGGCCCAGACCAACAGCCCCCTCGCTCCGTGGGCAGCAGGCCCAGCTCACCCTGTTCTACAGAGGACAGGGCACTGTCTGAGCTGGTGCGCGCCGTTTATTGGGTCTCAGAGGACATTGCCATGGTGCTGGTGGGCAGCAGCTGGCCCTGCACAGGTGAGCTGGTGGCTGTCACTGCTGAGCCTGGGGGAGCAGAGGAGGCCGATTCAGAGATGTGGGGACTGGGCTGAAACTGGGGAGTGTGGAGGTGGACGGTCCCCTCTGTGCCCGTCCTGCCCTCACCTTGTTGAAGAAGTAGATGGAGGTGAGGATGGTGAAGACGGCGATGGCCAGGGTCACATTCTGGGGAGGGAGATCAGAGGTCAGGCCCTTCCCGTCCTGCCCGTCCTCCCACCTCCCTCCCGCCTGCTCACGTCCTGGAAGTTCATGGCCATGGGTCCTCAGTGCCACCCTCGCAGGACCTCTGGCCCTTTCCTTGGCCTCTGAGCCTGGACAGAGAAGCCACTGGAAGTAAAAGGGTTGTCCAGGAGACCAGAATGGTGACCATGGCAACTGGGGCCGGGTATTCTGGGTAGAGGGGCCATTGCTCCAGGGCCTGGGGCCAGTGGGGTCACAGATGTGAGATGCTTTGGGGGTGGGGAGACTCAGAATGTCCACAGTTGAGACTCCTAACAGCTCACTGAGGCTCTGTGGACACAGGCATCAGCTGCGGGTACTGGAAATGTCAGGAAGCAGCTGGCAGTGTGGATGTCCTGTAAGCCCAGTGGACAGGTGGCCTTGGGCCAGGTTCTGGGTTCCAGCTGTGTAGGGTATCTGGGGGCTGTGGATGTCAGGTAAACAGGAAGAGGGTGTCGACCAGAAGAAAATAATGGAAAAGACCTGAGCCAGGCGTGTCAGGGGAGCGCAGGACTGGTCTGACGCCACTGTGTACACGTGTGCAAAGGTATGTGCCTTCCATGAACCTGGGGTGGCACCCAGGGCGCATGTGAAAACAGTGCAAGAGCAGCTCATGACAGGGCACGCGTGGTGGCGCAGGCCTGTGATCCCTGCACTCGGGGGCTGAGATGAGCATCAACGTGCGTCCAAGCCCAGCCTGGGCCACGCAGTGAGACCTGGCTCCCTAAGCAAGCACAAGCACAAGCACAAGCAAAAAATGACAGTAAAGGAGAGGGGCACAGGGATCAGACTGTGGAGACTGGAAGTCATGTGATGGCATAGGGACAGAGCCCGGCAGGCGGTGGGAGGACCGTGGCCTGCGGCGAAGGGCCCGAAGTAGATTCTCCTGGAGCTGCGCGGGAGTGTGAGCAGGGATGGGTTCGCTCCCAGCCAGCACGGCAGGCTCCGGCCTCTGCCCTCTGGAGTATGTAGAGTCCCTAGGGCGCTGGGACCTCCCAGCAGCTTTAGGAAGCAGGGACAACTCACCGGGCAGTGCTGCAGCTTCTGTGGGGTCCACAGAATTTGGGGTCTACTTAACTCCTCTGGTGGCCCCTTCGAATCTTTAGCCACCTCACATTCCTCTTTCACATTACAATCCACATAATTTTTCACTTCTTGAGACAGAGTCTCTGTATGTAGACCAGCTGGTCTTGAACTCTTAGCAACCTGCCTGCCTCTGCCTCCAGAGCACTGGGAATACGGGTGTGTACCACCATGCCCAGCCTCAGCCCCCAGTACTAAATCAACAACAAAACAGCACCACACAAGACCACCGGAGCTACTGGAGGGTGCAGTGGCAGAGGGGACCCCAGGTGTCGCTTGCTGGGGGTGGGGGCAGATAGGAGCCCCTCTAGCCCCACAGGTGCCCAGGGCCCTGTGTGCTTGTGAGGGCCCCTGAGCCTCAGATGCTGTTAGGGCCTCTCCGCCCCGGTCCCTGACCCACACCACCTGTTCTAAGCCACCAAGATTTAGGACTGCTTGTCGGCAATTGGTAGCACGACTGCTTAACAGCTATTCTCCACAGCTCTCACTGCTGACTGGGCCTGAACTCGTCTAACCCAGTTTGGAACAAGGCACAGAGAGGCGAACAGCCCCAAGGCCACCCAGCTTTACATGGTGAAGCTGGGATTTGAACTACAGGCCCTGCTGGCTTTGGCCAGCTGTGGGTAACAATTCCCGGGAGCCCCACTGTCTTTTTTTTTCTTTTTTTGTGGCACTGGGGATTGAACTCAGGACCTTGTGCTTGCCAGGCAAATGCTTAGCCTACTGAGCTATCTCCACAGTCCTTATGAGCCCCACTTTCTTTTCTTTTTTTAATTGATTTTACTTATTTGTGTGTGTGTGTGTGTGTGTGTGTGTATGTGGCCAGCTCAGTCCACCAGGGGGCGGGGCTGGCTGGCATGTGGTGCTGGGGATTGAACCGCGGTCCCTGTGCTTTGCCAAGCTGTTCCAAGTAGGTGCTTTAGACCACTGCGCCATCTCACCAGCCCCTGAGCCCCACTTTCAATGATGGGGAAGGGCAGAGTCTGGGGGGGGCTGGGCACGTCTCTCCGTGCATCTGGGTCCAGGTTAACGTGCCCGGGGCTCCATCTGAGCACCGCTACTCACTGGATACTTCCCAAGCAGGTCACCTGACCCTGTGCCTCAGTTTCTCCACAGCTCGGCAAGGTGGTAGGAATGGGTTGACACCCCTCGTGGTGGCAAGGAAGACTAAAAGGGTTAAGGGCAGGCAGAGCACGTGCGGGCGAGCCAGGGCCTGTGCCTGGCAAGGGGCTGGGCTGCACTGATGAGCAGGTGAGGCCAGGCACAGACCGGCTGAGCTCAGCGTCTAGGCCCTGTGGAGATGGCCGGGCCGGGCTGTGGCGGCTACACCGCTGGACCACTCCTGCTCCTGCTGCTCTTGCTGCTGCCCTGGGCCCTGCCTGATGGACCCCTGGTGTTTGTGGCGCTGGTGAGCGGCCCCCGCCCCGCATGGGCCCCGGGTCCTGGCCACTGGCGCTGACCCGGTCCATCCCCAGGTGTTCCGCCATGGTGACCGGGCCCCGCTGGCCTCCTACCCCACGGACCCACACAAGGACGCTGTCCCCACCCTGTGGCCTCGAGGCCTGGGCCAGCTGACTGAGGTGAGCAGAGCTGGGCAAGGGTGGAAGGCAGGGCAGGGCGGGATGGTTGCTGAGCCAGCTCTGTCCCCAGGAGGGTGTCCAGCAGCAGCTGGAGCTGGGCCGCTTCCTGCGCAGGCGCTACAAGGCCTTCCTGAGCCCCGAGTACCGGCGGGATGAGGTACAAGCCAGCTCTCCTGTCCCTGACCCCCCGACCCACTGCCTGTCCCTCATGTCCCTCTGGGGGTTCTCTTTGAACCTCTGACACCCTGAACCTGCCCTGCACCCCTGTAGTCAGCCAATCCTGTCCTGACCTCTGACCTCAAACTATTAACTCTCTCTCTTCCAACCTTCACCCTTGTCCGGACTCCTGAACGTGATCCAGTCTTTGAGCTCCATTTGCTTGCCCTCCCATCCTGGCCTGTGGACCCTTCCGGCTCCCTTCTCTGCCTCAGCCACTCTATTCCTTCTCTGACCCTTGCCTCTTGCCCCATGACTGTGGATAACACTGGTCCCTTTCCTCCAGCCATCCTCCACACTGACCTCTCTCCTCCATACCCACCTCTTCAATCTTCCTTTCTCACGTCCCTGAGGACTCCACAAACCCCTTAAGTCCACTTTCTGACTTCCAAAATGCCTGTTCCCAACACTGACCTCCGGCCCTCAGCCTTAGCCTCCCACTTGGATGAGCAGACACTTGTGGGTGCCCTGAGTTTTGCCTCCCCACGCCTGGCCTCTCACCGGCCAGCCCCACGCACTGGTACCCCGTCCCGTGCCCTCTGCAGGTGTACATCCGCAGCACAGACTTCGATCGCACGCTGGAGAGCGCACAGGCCATCCTGGCTGGGCTCTTCCCTGAGGCGTCCCCCCGGGGCTCGGAAGCCGACTGGAGGCCAATCCCAGTGCACACGGTGCCTGTGGCTGAGGATAAGGTCAGGGGGCTCAACAGGGCAGAGGGGAGGTACACAGAGGTGGGGACAGGGGTACTCCCACAGGGAGCTGGCCCCAGTCCATTGGCCTGGATGCAGGGGTGAGGCCCTGCGCGCGCAGCCCTGGACCCGGGAGAACCCTAGCACTGGCTGACCATGAGACCCAGCTCGCTGCTGGCCCTGCTGAGCCTCAGTGTCCCCTAGCTGCTGAGGTTCCCCATGCGCAGCTGTCCCCGGTACCAGGAGCTGCTGCGGGAGTCCACGGAGGCGGCTGAGTACCAGGAGGCTGTGGAGGGCTGGACGGTGAGCAGGCTGGGGGCTGGGCTGGGCTGGGGCCCTCGCTCGGGGCTCACCCTGCCTGTGCCCCCAGGGCTTCCTGAGCCGCCTCAGCAATTTCACGGGGCTGATGCTGGTGGGGGAGCCACTCCGCAAGGCCTGGAAGGTTCTGGACACGCTTATCTGCCAGGTGAGCCCTGCACCCCAGTACAGGGTTCACATCCTCTGCCACTCGCAAGTGACCTGCCCCCACCCGTGCCTCAGTTTTCCCATCTATAATGGTGACGGCAGCTCCTGCAGGAGTGGTCAGGCTACAACAGGTTAATCCCTCTGGAGGGCTGCCCTGGGTTGGTGTGGCCTCCTCTGCTCCCCTGGACTGAGAGCAGCTCTAGAACCAGAACCTGGGCAGCAGGAAGGCGATGTTGTCACTGGAGGGCTCCCTGCTGGGAACAAACAGGCTGCCTCAGGGCTCATGGAAAATCCGTGTCTGGGATTCAAAACCTCTCTGGTGTCAGGCTGAGGCTTCTGGGGGCACAGCAACGTCACCGTTACTGCTGAGCAATCATTACTATCTCAGGCACTGATTTCTTATCAGAACCAGCCAATGAGGGGCTCAGCTGGGGTGTGAAGCCATAGGAGGGTGGCTGGGAACATCCATCTCTCCGTCTGTCTTGCAGCAAGCCCATGGCCTTCCCCTCCCACCCTGGGCCTCCCCTGAGGTCTTGAGGACGCTAGGCCAGATCTCAGCGTTGGACATCAGGGCTCACGTGGGCCCACCCCGGGCAGCAGAGAAGGCGCAGCTGACTGGGGGTGAGGTGTGGGTTCTGGCGGCCAGGAGCCCAAGGTGCCCTTCTTCAGGAGGTCCTGACCCTCTGCCTGTCCTCACAGGGATTCTGCTGGACGCCATCCTTGCCAACTTCTCCAGGGTGCAGAGCCTGGGGCTGCCCCTCAAGATGGTCATGTACTCAGCTGTGAGTCCTTGGGAGGTGCCCCCCATGGCAACAGGTGTGGGGTAGCGGCAGTCTGGGCTGTCAGTGGCCCCCATGGAACCTCAGCCCCTGCCCTGGGCAGACCCTAGCTAGCTCCAAGCCTTACCTGGGTCTACGTGGAGGTCAATCCTGGTAGCAGGGAGGGGACAGTATGGGAGGAAGGCAGCTGCTGAGCACCTGTCAGACTGCACTCGGTGGCACTGGTAACTGACAGGCTTCCAGGAAGAGGGAGGGCACAGCAGCTTCGGCCTGAAGGGTCTGGGGTGAATCTGGAGGGGCCTGTCTCAGCCCCATGTCTGCTCCTAGCACGACAGCACCATTCTGGCCTTGTATGGGGCCCTAGGCCTCTATGACGGGCACACCCCACCGTATGCTGCCTGTCTCGGGTTCGAGTTCCGGAGCCACTTTGGGGACTCAGAAGATGAAGATGGAGGGTGAGGCTATGGCAGTGCCCAGGGGATGGGCCAGGTGGGGCTGTACCCTTAGCCATGGTGTGTGGACTGTTTTCTTCTCCAGGAACATCACAGTCTCCCTTTTCTACCGCAACGACACCAACCGCCCACCCCTGTCCCTCAGTGTCCCTGGGTGCCCGGCTCCCTGCCTCCTAGGGCGCTTCCGCCGGCTGACTGCTCCCGCCAGGCCTCCAGCCCGCGGGGCCACCTGCCACGGCGCATTTAGGCCTGCCACTGCCCCAGGTGACAGCCCTCTGCGCTGGGGTGGGAACGAGGGGTCCCTGGGGCCTGGGAGTCATGACCGTGTTCTTCCTGCAGCCACCACAGTGCCCCTGCTGGCCGGAGCAGTGGCTGTGCTGGCGGTGCTCAGCCTGGGGCTGGGGCTGCTGGCCTGGAGACCCAGCTGCCTGCGGGCCCTGGGGGGAGCAGTGTGAGCGGGAGGGGCGGCCCCTCCCAGCAGACACTGGACCCAACACGCGTGAGCACCCACTCCTCTGGCTGGTCACTGTCTTGTGTGGGGGACAAGGGCTGGGCGGCAGCGTACCTGCAGATACTGCACCCACTCGCTGTGCCTTTGGGGTATGCAAGCATACACGCACATGTAGTGTCCCTTTCTGTAACATGGGAGCCTGCGCCTTGGGACAGGATGTCCCAAGCATCCCCACATGCAGCTCCTTCAGCAGAGCTAAGCCTGTAAGTGGCAATGAGACCTGGGAAGGGACAGGCAGCCTGGCACTGGGGGTTGCCTAGATGTCCAGTGCTGCCCTTATGGACCACACACCTAAATTTACATTAAAAGTCTAAGTGCAGGTTCCCACTGAGGTCAGGTCCCCTTGGCCAACATTGAGGTAGGGAAGCGACCCCAACAGCTGGCAGAGAGGACCCCACTGAGCCTGCATCTGTCACCCCTCAGATATGAGGGCAGCCCCCTCCCCTACTAACTGGCTCTCCCCAAGCTCCTTGGCCCCAGCAGGCAGCCAGGCCTGTAGCAGGCCCAGGGCCTAGCCTGTTGCCCGACCGGCTACCACAGGCCCACCCTTCCTCATCAGACTGTTGGAGAGCCAGGCCTGAAGGCGGGCCAGCCCACGCACCCCGCCCTGGACCAGCACCCCGACTGCGCCAGGATCGCACCAGGCACCACGGCCTAGGAAGGGCGCCGCACCCGCCACTTAATGGTGCTTGTGACAGCAAAGTCCTCGAAACCCTGTTCTTTCGGATCCCCCTTGGCACGGACCCCAGGCGCTGGCCTGTGGCTGCAGGGGCAGCTAAAGCAACCAGAGCTGCCGGGGTATGGCGGCCCCCCGCAGCCTGGCCCACCAGACAGCTTGTGGCGAGAGGGAGGGGAACTGCTCGCAAGAAAAAACCAGACAAAACGCCAGACAGGGCCACGAGTGGAATGGTATTGAAGAGGCAGACATGACTGCTAAAACCAGTGTCACGTATGCCTAAAATCTTAAGTAAAAATAATGCATTAAAAAAACCCTTTTACAGTGACCCCAGCGGTGGTAGTGGGTTTCCCTTCCCTCTGGCGCTCTGGGCTTCAGACCACGGACACAGGCCAGCTCTTTCTGTAGCTTCCTCATGGGCTCTGGCCAGGGATGGGGACACAGGATGGTGATCGGCCAGGCCCCTGCCGTTGCTCCTGCAGCCCAGGCTCCTGCCCACCTCTGAACTCAGGCCTTGGCATGCCGCAGTCCTGCAGATGGTTCCTCCTGCGCCCCTCTGTACAGCTTGATGAGGAGTGTGATCGCTGCTCGTCCACCCCCTCCTGGGGCACGCTGTGGGACAGCAGCCCACCCATGATGTCCTTGTGTGTGGGGCTGGGCCCAGCATGAGTTCAGTGCGGCCCAGCTGGCTCCCTTGCAGGTGGCACTGCAGGACCAGGTGAGGCGGCCCACTGCAAATACAGCAGAGCATGCTCAGGGGCCAGAAGGGCAGGTCGCTGTCATGGATGTGCATGCAGAAGGGACTGCGAGTGCCAGGCCTTCAGCAGCTGCAGATGGCATCGTGGGCCAGGTCGCCCTGTAGTGTCAGTTCTCTAGAGTTGAGTGCAAGGACAGGTCTGCCCCGACTGTACACCGCAGGATCCAGGCGACCATGAGCTCAGTGTGGTACCACTGCTTGCTTGGCCATGGTCATTACCTGCCCAGAGGATGTTGCAGGAGCTGAGGATGACAGACGTGGCACTGAGTGGCGGAAAGGGCTACTACCTAGCCCAGTGTCTCCCTGGAATGGGGCCCTAGGGGTGGGGGGAAGGTCAAAGGTCCCTTAAGGTGCCACATTTCCATAGTTGGAACTCAGTGCTGGATATTGGAGATCCCCAAGTGCAGCCCTGACAGGGTATCTTAGCGAGTGCCCCGCCCATCCCAGCACCACAGGGGCTCCTGCTCCTACCTGGAGGTGGGACTTGGTGACTTGATACCAGCTGTGGGTGGAGCAAAGGGCAGGAAGAAGTCAGTGGGGTACAGGAAGACATCACCTTGTTGAATCCCTCCTTGGAGCCAGGGCCCCTCAGACCCCCAGGTGTCAAAGGTCCTGGGGGGCACTATGTCCTCAGATAGTCAGAGCCCAGTGCTAGGCATCACAGGGGCCCTGCTGCTCACCCACCCATAGGTCTCAGAGCCCCCAGCACCCCTGAAGGGCACAGTACAAGCAGCATCCACAGAATCATGGCTGCCTGTCCAGCTCTACCCTGGATGTTGCTGTATGACCTGGGGCTGGCTGGTGAGGCTGAGGCGGACTCTAACTTCTTTTCAGTGCAGAGCTAGTGTTTGGGTCTTCAGTCTCCTAAAAAATCATCCCCAAAGACTGCTGTCACACCTTGGGTCTGCTGTTCCCCACAGCCTCAGGTCAGAGCGATGGGGCCTCTTGTGTAGACTGGGGTGGGAAAGGGCACCTGCCCTTCACAACCCTACTAGGACTTGGTAAGCTCTCACCAAGTGATCACTCAATACTCACTGGGAACCTTTAATACCTGAATCTGTCAAGATGTGCCACTCAGAGGTGGCTGCTATGCCCTCAGCTTGCACCTTCTCTGGAACTCCCAGACCCACAGGTAGCGCTCTGCAGAGGGCACCCAATGCTTTCTCTTCAGCTAAAACTGTCTTCTAATCTAGCTCTTTGAAAATACTAGCAAAAGCTCTATTTAACAATGGTCAATGCGGTTCTGTGCAAAACAAAAAAAAAAACCCAAAAAAATGTCACTGTACACCAAGGGCTCCTTTAACAACAGTTTCCGTTCAGATGATTCACTGGCATCCAACTATGCCTCACTTAAGGCACAATGAGTGTTCAGTTCACAAAAGCCACCAAGTGACAGAAACCAGGCAGGTCACTTTCTGTTGCTGTCCCCACACTAATGGAAGAATTCTGAAAACTCGGTACTGAGGACCTTTTCCCTTAACACCCAAATACTTTTTCCTTCCCCATCGCACACCTCTCATTCACTCTTTCCCTTTGGAGGGCAGGAAATGCCACTGTCCCCACCCAACCATATACGAAGGTCTTGGGGGCATGTGTCAGAGTTCCTGGGGCTTAGGAGGCTGCTGCCTCCCAACATCTCCAACCCTACACAAGGCAGGGCTGACTGGGATCTGGATGCAGGTCCAGCTAGCTAACTGGGTTTCCACAGCCTGAGATGGTTTTTATATGTAAATCCTAAGTGCAGTTGTTGGCACAAAAACTCAGGAACCAGAGACTTCTAATATTAAGTCACCCAGGAGGAAAGCAAAATATTTTTAAATGGGGATGGACCAGGACTGGAAACGAGATCTTACCTGATGGGACGATGGCAAGAGCCCCTCGGTGTTTAGGAATACCTGCAACACAGAAGTACTTGCTGAGGGTGAGGGTGAGGGTGGGGGCAGGTGCAGTCCCGGGCCCAGGACAACACCACTGGGGCCCCTCAGACCCCCAGGTGTCAAAGGTCCTGGGGGGCACTGTATCCTCATGGATGTTCAGAGCCCAGTGCTGGACATCATGGGGACCCCAGCCCCTCTCACACCAGATTCACTTACCTTCAGGAACACATGCCAAGCTGACAGATCATACAAAACCACCAAAAGACCTCAACATTCCTGGTATCATAGGCAGTCCCCCCACGGGCTGGGCTCCACACCCACGGGGGGAAAGAGAACCCTCTTAGTTTCCCTGTGCGGTCTATTCTCTAGAAGCCTGTAACAGTTAAGACTGCTGAGAAACCAAAGAACCTAACAAGGGAATGAGAAACCGGGCCTTCCAGAAAGAGCAAAGCTAAGACAAGGGTGTCTCTATATAAGCACTGACTCTGACTGCAGACTTTTGTCTGAGCCACAAATTACTGTGAAAGGCGTTCAGGGACTTAGGAACAACGTTCCAAGAAGGTAGTAGATGGCAGGATAACAAAAGTATTCTCATTAAAGGAAACAATGATAGGGGTCGGGGAGGTAGCAAGCGCAAGGTACCGAGTTCAATCTCTGGTATCACCAAAACAAAAAAAATAGCGGCAACGCCGTTATTAGGTTAGCAATGAGGCCTGTTTTACAGGCAAAAGCGTCACTATAGGATAAAACGTGGTTCTTGAAACGAGAAAACTCAATTAAAAGGGACTCAGGTTGGAGGGAGAAAATCAGCTAACTTCAGACTGCCCCCCCTCCCCCGGGCTGGGGAGCGACTTTAATGATTTAAGCCAAAAAGGTCAATAAAACGGAAAGTTACGGCAATCACTGTCAGAACTGAACAAAAGACTCGTTTGTTTTCCTCTAAGTCTGCTCCTACCTGGTTTGCAGAAACAATCCCGAAATTCACTTGGAGACTCTCTTCTTCCTTGGTAGCTTTATGTATTATTTTCTGTCCCACAAGCAAACACCCACAAGGGGCCGGCTCCGTCCCACCTTGCACAAAACCAGCTTCCCACAAACGGGGGGGGGGGAATCAAGTGCGGTTCCCTAGAGATCTGAGGACCTGTGACTAGCAATGATGGAAATGCTCAGGAAAACTCACAAGCACGCCCCCGCTGACCTCACCCTCGCCCCAAAAGAGCCAAGATGGCGGAGGCGCGAGACGGGGGCAGCAGACGCGGCTCGGTCGGGAGAAGAGGGCACCCCGCGGCCCCTGAGGCGGGCTGGGGGACTCGGCCCCCAGGCGCTCCCACCCTCCGGCGGGGGAACGCCAAGCTCAGCCGCCAGGAGCCGGAGGCCTCACGTCCGCGCCACATGGCCGCTCCTGCTGAAGCCCCGGCTCTTCACGAAAGTGTTCTAAAGCACACAGCGCCCAAATAGTCCACACAGAGATATCCGAAAACCTGAACCTTGTCCGCAAAAGGGCAAGCACGCGGCAGCGAGCCCTCATTTATACCACGCGCCGCTGGCGGTTCCGGCCCCAGGACCCGTCTTGTCTCCGCCCTTAGGCGTCCAATACCAGAGCCTGTGAAAGGAGCCCCACTTTGGTAATGGAGAAGCGAATAATGTCTGTTTCCCCCAGAATATTTCGCAATAAGAGAGAATACATTCTCTCTGTAGGTGGAAAGAAAGGAACAAGGACACATTTAATGCCATTGTCTTGTCCCATACGTCAGGCAACTTTGAGGTCAGCATAAGTGGACGAGCCGCGAAGAGAAAGGCCCCCAAGAGGGCGGGGCCAAAACCGGAAGCCACTGGAATGGGCAGAGCAAAGAGGGGCGTGCCGGGCTTTTGGCCGGGTGACGTTGAAGGGCCCGAGCTTGGGGCGCGAGGCCGGCAGGAAACCTGTACTTCGGATCCAGGCGGGTGCGGGGACCTGAGGGAGGAGGTGGCCCGGGACCCCAAGTCAGAGGGAGGAGGGTGGACCCGGAGGAGGGCCGGGCACGGACCCCAAAACTGAGTAGACTGAGTATTTGGCTCACCCCAGTTTTTTGGCCCAAGGCCTGCAGTCTTGGATTCTTGTGAAATCTGAGAGGCATCAACTGACAGTATTCTAAAAATCAATCAAT